GATTGATGATGAGAGCATGCTGATGTGGCATTGGACTAAGGTGGCACTGCATTGCGTTGTGGGTGGTACCGAGGTCATGACCGGTCATCAAATGAAACATCAGCTCAATTGGTGAGAAAATCTGTGGTTGGGGGCAGCTATCTCCAGGTATGTTGATCCCTTACCTTATCTACTCTCTCAATCTCTTCTTACCGTGAGGAAGTGAGTCCAACTTGAGAGTCCTCTCTTTTGGTGAGGTGTCGTGAGCGCGCTACCTTGAGAGACGACAATCTTCCCGGAAGCATCTGGAAGGAGAAACGGCGGTGCCTCTGAAGGGCCCTGGTCGAAGCACTGGGTCACGGTCACCATGCCAACCCAATGGGAGTAGGTCACGCATGCGATGGCTGCAGTCCATTAAGGCACTTTGCTGCGCCAAATAGAAGTCTTGCCAAGTGTGCCAGCCTTGTATGAGACGCTTACCAGACCGTCTATAAACATTTCTTGTTGGGTACTCGGAATGATTTTGGCTGTGATCGTCGTCTTGACTGCGACGTTAAAGAATTCCTGAAGAGATGGGGGCGCTCTTAATAATCCTCCTGATCAGCCAGATCATCCGGGTGTAAGGGTCGTTTCCGTACGAGGGTAAATAAGAGTGGGCTGGCTGGCTTACTTGGCTCTGACTTGGGCACAGGGGTGGACCGATACACACACGAAAACACTGCTTTGCTCAAGATGCTGTCCGGATGGTTGGATTGAGGGGAAGGGTAGATTCCAATTGGTGCTCAACTAAATACACAACTATACCCATCAATCATACATCTGCTACATGGTCTTTTTGTACTTTTGATTAGTTGGTGGACAGACTGCTAACACCTCACAGACAGACTAGAGTTGCTGTTGTAAGTGAACAAGTCAAAGTGCATTTAGACTATGTAGACAATCTGTGTGAATGTTGTAGACATGCCACTTGATCGGTACAGTAGGAGACTTGCCGGACACAACCATTTCTAGAAAATTAGGTGCCGGTCAGACACATGCTGCGGTAAGATTCCACTAGGGGATTCTAGTGCAGACAATGTTTGCCTAATTCATGAACGGATCAGACGTCGACGAGGAGGGAGTTGACGATGCTAGACTAACACATGCAAGATCAAGTAGGATCCCGTACCTGTTCAGGACTCTAGACGAGGGAGAAGAAAGACGGCTTCGTGCCTAATGCAGAGCCCGTGCTCTCGCAGCATCGAGAGCAGCAGCAAACGTTGCAGCCAGGGAACAGGCTGCAGCAGCAGCCATAACTTCTTCAGCAGCATCCTCCGCTGCAACTTTTGTTGCGTTCTCGTTTGGAACCCAGTTTGGAATGCCAACAGGGTCCGCGGGCACTTCCAGTTCATCAGGTTCTAGACAGTCTACAAGTCAAATGGCGGGCTCGCAATTCAGCCCGCTGACTCCTCGCGAAAGGGAGATGAGGGAGCTCCACCAGGTCGAAAGGATCCGTGCACAATTAGAGAAGGAACTGAAAGAAGCTACCGATAGAGAAAGAGAGATAAAGAGTAGAACAGCCAGGCTTGAAACGTTAGCGGCTGACAAGGCTGAGTTAGAGGGCATGGATGACTCTAGAATGAATGAGCCCATGAAAGTGTTGAGGAACAACATGCTGTCACTGCATGCGCACGTAGACAGCAGGTTGGACTTCATGCAGAGCACTTTGGACCAGATCCTGGACATTTTGACAAGGCCAGGATTTAGGCCACCAGCACAATCGCCATTGCCGTTATCGGCGATGTCAGGCCCCTTTCCAGTTCAAGTTGGTACACAGCCTAGTGGTACGTCTGCAGCAGCCGCACAGACTGTTGCATCTTCTTCTTCGGGTCCAGCGGTGATTGCTACATCACCACAACAACCTGTTCAACAATCTGGACAGCCGCAAGGTCAATGGTATCCCAAGACCCCAATGAAACCACCTCTTGCCTTCTCAGGCGAGAGAAAGGACAAGGAACTCAACACATGGTTGAGGACCGTCCCGGTTTGGGTGAAGGCAAAGAGGACCTTGCCTGAGGACGAAGTGGTTACTACTGCATCCTACCTTGAGGGTAAGGCAGCCAAGTGGTTAGATGGTGTAGTTGTGAAGGCCGGATACGGGCGACGCATGGCGGACTGGGCTAAGACTTTGACATTAGACCAGTTCATGGAGATGGTAGAAGCTCGATGGCATAACCCACAGGAGGCTCAAAGGGCCACTGATGCCATTAACAAACTCGACCAACGCAAGTTCAAGTCGGTTAGAGAGCTTACGACTACCGTCGAGAGCCTGGTCCTCGTTCCAGGCATCAACTACAGTGACCAGTTCCTCTTAACTACGTTTGTTAGATGTCTTCCTGAGAACATGAGGAACTTGCTAGCCAGTGAGGCACGCGTAGAGTACCATTCGTTTGAGACATTGTCTAGGAAAGCCTTAGATTTGGAGGCCACGCTAGGCAATGCTCAACCCACCTCAGGGAATGACTCAAAGAAGAAGAAGAGTCATCAGGAGTGGAAGAAGAAGGGGGCGAAGTTGATGATGGATGAGTCAGATGGGACTCAAACTGAAATCGATGAGCTCTCTGACCTGATGGACTACTCAGAGTATGACGGCGAGGAGGTAGCTGAGGGTAGCACCCTCGCCGCG